TTGTTAGCAGAGGCTGTGGCGCCTTTCCAGCACACAGGCATTCACAGGCAAAATTCACCCCTGACCTGCGTTAGGTAAGACACCTACAGATTTTACCAGTGACTCATCCACGCTCTTTCATCAAGTCTTTGATGCCTCCCTAAACATCTCCACTCCTTCTAAAAGGATAAGAGAAAGAAAGAAATCCCAGGAGGAAAACTTTTCAAAGCTGCAGTTTCTTCTCAGCTACAACCCTTCCTTCCTTCCTTCTTCCCAAGAAGGTCTGACTGAACTTGCAATTGGACCCCACCCTGAGCCAGGCCCTCCACTCAGGCATTGTGCGATCGGCTGCCAGCTGCCACATGTGCAGACAGAATACCTGAGAACCGCTGCCAAAACAGGAAGGTTGGCGCCTCTCTGGAAGGAGGCCTGGGGAGCATCCGTTGCCCAGTGACTGCAGATAAGAGGCCAAGGGGCTAGCACACCACACCTCTGCTGGGGCTCCAGAGCTCTTCCCTGGTACTTTCTTCATCCTATGGGATTCATTTTTTTATTCACTCACTCAACAAATGCAGAAGGCACCTACTGTTGTGCTGGTATTGGGGGGACAGAGAAATGACAGATATATCTCTGTCCCCTAGGGCACTCATGTAGCTGTGACAGGCCACTCAAGGGACAATTGTGATACCTCAGACTCCTCTGAAGCCCAAAGGAACCACCTCTCTGCCATCCCAGTGGTGAACCCTGCAGATTGTCATCACAAACAAAGCAAATGGGGGTAGAAGCAAGGGGGACAGGTAGAGGGTCATCCCCATCTCCCTAGTTTCCCTCAGCACCAGCAAGCCTCCCCAGATTCACATCCAGTTTCTGGTCTCAAGAACTTGTCTTGGGGCTGGGGTTGTAGCTCAGCGGTGGAGCATTTGCCTAGCACATGAGGGGCACTGGACTCGATCCTCGGCATAAAGAGGAGTAAATAAAATAAAGGTATTTGTCCATCTATAACTCAAAAAAAAAGGAAGGGAGGGAGGGAGGGAGGGAGGGAGGGAGGGAGGGAGAGAGGAAGGGGTACAGACGAACTTGTCTTATTGCAGCCAATTGGCAGGCTGGCCATAGGAATTGATGTATGTTGAACCCCAATTTAGTGGATAAAGACACCCACAGATTTTATCAGTGGAAGGCAAAACCTTCCATGCTTCCCACCTCTGGATCCTCCAAAAGCCTGCCCATTACCAGTGTCTATAACAAAACAAGTCTTCAGCAAGATGATGAGTAACTTTCATACTTAATAGTACAATTTTTGCTTTACAAAGATGAATTAGGACAGTAACAGGAAGGTTGGGAAAAAACCCCCACACAGTAGCTAACTCCAAGGATCCAGCCACAGATAGGAGCTGAAGGAAAGAGATCAGAGGAGGAAACCAGGAAATGAGAAAGGCAAAAAGGAGTCCCGGAGGCTGGAGAGGAAGGGGGAAGGAATAAAAGACAGGAGCAGCGTGCAACAGGGCTAGAGATGCCACTTGTTCCCGTCTAAAGTATTCTCCAGCTTCTTCGAGGATTTGCTCCTCTCTGCTGTTCCAAGAAAGGGCTGGACACTGTGGCCTCTGCTGTTATTCCCCACTCCAAGGCACTGCTCCTGATCTCTGAGGCAGGGAGAGCAGCCCTGCTCGGCCCCTGCACAGTCATTTGCGAGGGTCACTGTGTTCGTGTGAAAGTCTTTACTGCACACACCACCCACCCCACAGCCCAGGAGTAAAATGTAAAGGCCAGGACACCACAGACTTCTCACACACAGGAGCTCACCTTTCCTCCTAGGACCTCCTTGGGCAGAGGAAGGGCTGAGCAAGCTTCCCCAAGAACAAGGCTCTCCAGCCCTCAGGTCAGAAAACAGTCAGAATCACAACTCCACACAGAGGCCATCGTAGGCACTGCAGGGCCCTTCCAGGCAGGCCTGGCCACAGCCTGGGAAGCCCTTCCTGGCAAAGCCGGAAGGCTGCCCTCCCTCCACAGGGGGCAAGGAGCTGGCCTGGATGATGATGGGACCCAGCCATTGCGGTAACTCAGCAGGCTCCTCTTAGGAGGAGAGCAGAGCTCCAGGGAAGGCAAGACAGGGCTGAACCAGAGGCCTGGCATGGCCATCTTTCACTTAGTAGGTCATTCCTTGAACAAACATTTACCAAGTCTCTCCAGTTGCCAAAGGACCCAAGCCTTTGCTCTGCACAAGTTCCAGGGGAGCTGGTGTTCACTGTACCTGCGCGGAAGAGCCACCCGAGGAGCTTCCACGGCCTGCTCTAGGGGGAGGAATCTTACTCTTTAGCTACCACTGTGTATGTTTATTTTCATCAGAGAGTTTGTTCTGTTTTTGTTTTTAAAATACAGAATAGTGCAAAATGCCTCTTCCTGGGAACTAAATTCCATCTTCCTAAATATGTCTGTTTCCCCATCAGAATCAGCACTTTCCCCAACAATTCCAGTCCTCCGGTTACTCTACCTACCACACTGCCTACAACTGTATCCCCAGCCCCAGCCACACCTCAAGCTCACATCACTAGCCTATCGGTCACCTCCATGTGGCCTTGCTGAAACTCTAAGGCAGACCTGGCCATCTCCCCTACACCTACTCCTGCCGCCCTGTTTCCCCCACCCCCATCCAGTGCTTGAGGCCCCAGCCAGCCAGCCCCAGAGTCAGTGCTGTCTCTGGCCCTGCTCCACCCCACACCCACAGGTCTCATCTCTTGCCACCCGCCCTCCTTTCCCAGCCCCAGAGGCTCCCCAGGACTATCTCAACAGCCTCCTTCCTGCCTCTGCTCTTGGTCCCTATCCCACATCATTTTCCACACTGAGGCCAGAGAAATCTAAAATCCAAAACTGGCACCCACTTCCTACTGTCCTGAGAGAAAGCTCAAGGCCCTCAGTGCAGTGGACCGGGCCTTCCCTGAACTGGCTCTGGGGCCTTTCTATCTGCCTCTCACCACCAGCCCTCCCTGTTCCCCCGGCACAGCTGGCGCTCCTGCTGCATAAGCCGCCCTCCCTGTAGGCCAAGCTTTCTTCTTCTCCTCTGGTTAAACTCTGACTCCCTAAACACTCGGCTCAGAGAGAACCTCTAGAAAGACTTTCTTGACTCTCCAGCTATGGTAGGAGTCCCAGGGATACCCAGGTCCCTGTGCAAATCTGTCACAGCACTCCCCACTACCACTAACATGTCTGGGTCTCCCAAGACAGCATGAGCAGTTAAAATGAATGAAAGGCCACAGCGTGTGGTAACATGGAGACATCCCCAAGTCATGTTGGGTGAGAAAAGTAATTTGCAGAATCATTCATTCACCATTCAGTATTTTATCAAACGAATACATGCAGTATAATTAAAATGTATGTGAATTCTTTAACTGCTAAACAAAAGTAGTAATTGCTTGGGGCCATCTACATGTGGAAGAAAAATGAAACGGGGGGGGGGGGGGTGCATGAGCCTCACTGTCAGTGGTTGCCTCCAGGAAAGGAGGGGTGGGTAAAAGTAGGGCTGAAATAGTATCTGTCATGTTTTATTTAGTTTCATTTTTTAATACAGCTCTCAAGCAAAACTGGCAAATAACTATTAAATTTGGATGGTAAATAATGGCTATTTGTTATATTATTTCCAACATACTTGAAATATTTTATCAGTACATTTTTTAAAAAATTAACAAGAAATCTGAGTGGCAAATGTTCTCATTAATGTCCCAGGGGCCTGGGCAGACTCCTGCAGCTGCTGACCCCAACAGGTCTGCATGGGCATAGCTGCCACTCTGAGATGGGCAGAAATACAACATAAAAAAGTAAATCTGATGTGTGTGTGTTTGTGTGTGTACTGTGTGTGCTGGTGGGGATTAAACCCAGGGTCTCATGCATGGTAGGCCAGTGTTCTGCCACTAAGCTACCTTCCCAGCCTTTTTTATTTTTTGTTTTATGAAAAGGTCTCACTAAGTTTCCCAGGCTGGCCTTGAACTTGTGATCCTCCTGCCTCGGCCTCCCGAGTAGCTGGGCCTGCACCACTGGGCTGGGTGCTCACTGTGCACATAGGTGGATAGGAGAGTAAGTAAAGGGAGGAGGGAGAAACAGAGGGTGTAAACTTACTTGTGTTTAATTCAAGATGGTGCTCAGATACCCAAGCAGAGATCCAGTAGGAGCTGGTCACATGGGAGCGGAGTTTGAGAAAGCTGAAGAAGCAGGTGGACCAGGGCAGTAGTGGTTGAGAAAGGTCCCCTCAGATGAGAGAGAGCAAAGGGGAACACAGGGATATCAGAGGACTGCGCCCTGTGCTCTCCCTGCCCACATGAGAGGACAGGACCACCAAGAAGAGAGATAAGAAATGGGAAGAGAATTTCAAATCAGCATGGGTGGTCAATGGTGCAGAAGAGGCGAAGAATCAGAAATGAGCACAAGTCCTGGATTTGGAGATCAAGAGTCCCAGGAGCCTCAGATAGAGAAATTTCAGCAGCAACGAGAGGCAGGCATGCTTGCTTACCCCCTTTACAGTTCCCAGCACTGACACTGACCTGTACGAGCCAAGCGCAAGCAGAAGCACTTCCCACCTGCTGGATGCAGCCTTAGATGAACTTGGCCCTGCTGAGCTCTGTCCCACTAACCCTCCTCATAGCAAGTGACAGAGCCACAGCAGAGCAATGTGCTGGGTGGACGTGCAGAGAAGGACACCACAGAGAGAGGCTAGGCGGCTGCCTTCCTAGATAACCAAAAAAGTAAGCTCAGAGACGCACGATTTCATTTTCAAATGCAGAACACAGAATTAAAATGGGCCACATGTCACTTTATTTTCTAAAATGTATTTTCTCTATATTTGCCTGACTTTTATGGCAATAAGATCATTTTGGCATAACACTCATCTTACATAAATGAAAATATGAGCCAAAAAATGGCATTTTAGGAGCATTAAGCCCAACAAATGCGTCTTGTTTAAACTGTCAAGCTCTTGAGCTTTTTATAGTAACGAAGCTCTGCGTCTTCACGGAGTCTTGTGCCGTGGGCCGTGGTGCTTGTTTTGAAAAAGACAAGACAGGAGGTGGAGAAAGGAAAAGGGGCCCGTGCTGCCAGTCTGCGGGGAAAGGAGTTGGGAGGAGAAGAAATAGTGGTGATGAGGAAGACCCGCAGTCATGAGACCTGGAGATGAAACGAGAGGCGAGACACTAAGAGGATGGCATAGAGAGAGAGCTTGAGATGGAAGGACGCAGTGGAGGAGAAGATGAGGCAGATGACAAACACTGGACTAAATAAAAGTCTACAGCCTAACTATGAGGCCTCCAGCCTCTCCTCCTACCTTTTCCTGTTCCCAGAACTGTGGCAGCCACCCACATCCCCGGAAGGAGATTAGAGAATTCCTCTTTGGAAAACACTAACTGCACCAGAGGTAAGACCTACAGAAACTGACTGTATTAGTCTATTTTCTTTTACTATAATAAAATACCCGAGGCTGGGTACTTATAAAGAAAAGAGGTTTATTTAGATTATGGTTTCGAGGGCTGAAAATACAAAATTGGGTGGCCTCATCTGTTCGGCCTCTGGTAAGGGGCCCCCTTGTTGGATCACAACATGGCAGAAAAATGGAAAGGGAACTGGCTGCATACAGAAGGGGCCAAGTACATGAGCTGGTTGGTTAGTTGGATGAATTAAAGGATTTATTTGATTATTCATTCATCCATTTATATGCTGCTGGGCATTGAACACAGGGCCTCACTAGGCAAGTATTCTACCACTGAGCTGCACCCCAAGCCCTGATCTTACTTTAAACAATCCACTGTCATGACAGCAAAATCCTTTTGGAGGACTAAGCCCCCTGTGACCTAACTACTCTTCACTAAGTTCCACCTCGAACATGTTCCACCACCTTTCAATATCACTATACTGGGTACTAAACTTCCAGCATGGGGACCTTTGGGGGACAATCACATCCATACCATAGTGCTGACACCTGGGAGTCTTCCCAACAAACAGCCCAGTGTGCACAGGATCACCCACTTGCCAACTGCCCTGCAAGCAGGGTGTGCACACGGCTCCCCATGTGCTTTTAGTGCCTCATTATTAAAAAAGAATCAACAACCAAGGACTATCACACATCTGAAGAAAGTTGGCAGCAATTAACAGGGAGAACAAAAGAAAAGAACAGAAGAATCTGGATGGGGACCGGGGGACAAGAGATTCACATAAAACCCTTGTATTTTATAGTCTAAAGGAGTCAGAAAGAAATATTATATCCATGAAACAAGAACAGGATGTGATTTTAAAAATAACCATCAGAGAACAAGGATCTCTTAGCAATTAATGATAGACAAAAAATGAAGTAGAAAGGTAGAAAGCAAAGTTGAGGAAAACTCCCATAAAGTAAGGAGGAGGGAAAATATATAAGCTACACAAAAGAGAAGATTTAAAAAATAATAATAATAATAAAAGAAGGTTCAAACCAAGAGTTCCAACATGTAACTATGGTAGCAGTCCCCTCTTATCCACAGGGGACTCTTCAAGGATTCCCGTGGACACCTGAAACTGCAGATACTGGTGAACCCTATGGATATTATGTTTTTCAATACACACATGTTATGGTTTGGATATGAGTGTCCCCCAAAAAGCTACTGTGTTATTGCAGGAGATGAAATGATTGGATTGTGAGAGTATAACCTATCAGTCACCCTAGTTTGAATGGTCTCACTAGGTGGTAACTGTGTGCAGGTAAGGGGTGACTGGAGGAGATCACTGGGGGTGGCTGGAAGGCATACTCCCTTTTGCTCCCCCATCCCCCTGTCTTTCCTGAGTATCATGAAGTAAGCAGTGCTTCTCTTCCATGCCCTTCTGCCATATGTTCTGTCTCATCTTGGGCCCAGAGCCATGCATGGAGTTGGCCAACCATGGAATGACCCTCTGAAATCTTGAGTCGAAATAAACCTTAGTTCCTCTAAGTTGTTCTTGTTGAGTATTTTAGTCACAATAATAAAAATCTGACTAATACAACATATCTATGATAAAGTTTAATTTATGAATTGCAAAATGAGATATTAACAAAAAAATCATAAAATCGAACATTTTTTCATTTATGAACACTTATGAGCTGTAATTATTTCTGGAATTTTACATTTTTCCACCCAAACTGTGGAAAGCAAAACTGGTTATGAAGGGACTAGTAGGGGCTGGGGCTGTAGTTCAGGGGTAGAGTGCTCACCTAGCACACGTGAGGCCCTGGGTTCAATCCTCAGCACCACATAAAATAAATAAATAAAATAAAGGTCTGGTGTCCAACTACAACTAAAAAATAAAATAAAAAAGGACTACTACAGTCAGAATTCAAGGGGAAAAAAGAAGAAAAACAAAACAAAGGGGAAGAAATTATCCAAGAAATAACCAAAAATCCCAGATTGAAAGTGCCCAGGGCAATGAATCAAATTTTTGACATGAAATTTTAGAATATTGTGGGTAAAGGGAATATCAGGACTACTTGGAGGAAAAGAAACAGGTTACCTGTCAAGAACAGAAATCAGAATAACACCGAACTCCTGATGCCACTGAATCAGTGCTAGAAGATGAAGTGAGAATGATTCCAAAATTCTATGGGAAACTATTTTCTACCTAGATTTTTATATCTCCTGTCAATTAAATTGAAGGTAGAAAAGCAGTATTTCTACCGTAGGCAGAGAGGATGATCTGCGATCCAGAGAACAGGGAGCAACCCCCGGGAGCAGTGAGGGTGAAGACCCAGACTCTGAGATCATCCGTCCATGAGAAGCAATGCTGAGGAGAGACTCTCCCACAAGGAGACCCTAACAGAGGGATCACTGCAGAAAATGCCTGTAAGTCTTTGAAAGCCCTATGGAACATCTTTTAAAATGGTAATAAAATTCTAGAAAATAAAGCAAGTAAAAAACAATGGAATGTAGTGGTTTAAGTGGTGACCCCTAAAAAATGTCCACCCCTAGGAAACTACAAATGAGACCATATTTGGAAAAAGGGTCTGCAGTTTGCAGATGAATTTAGGGACCTTTAGGTGAGATTAGCCTGGATTACCTAAATCGGACCTGTTTCCAGTGACGAGTTGTCCTTACACAGCACACACAGGTGGGAGGAGAAGGTCACATGGAGCAGAGGCTGAGGAAGGAGTACCAGGAGTACCTCTAGGGCCTTCCAGGGAGACTGGCCCTGCCTGACACCTTAGATTTCAGACTTCCAGCTCCAGAACTGAGAGAGAATAAATTTCTGCCGTTTTAAGCTCCTACGGTTGTGGTAGTTGTTGGGGCCGCCTTAGGAAACTATTACATGAAGTGTTCAATTGCTTTCTCTCTCTCTCTCTCTCTCTCTCTCTCTCTCTCTCTCTCTCTCTCTCTCTTTCTTACTGTTTTTCTGTCTTTCTTTCTTTTTTCTTTTTTCCTTTTTTTTTTTTTTGTGGTGCTGGGGATCAAACCCACAGCCTTGTGCATGTGAGGCAAGCACTGTGCCAACTGAGCTACATCCCTAGCCCCTGAAGCATTTAATTTCAAGAAAATCCAGAAAATATATAAGAAAACAAGCAATCAGAGTACCCAATTTGGCTCAAAAATGAATACTTTTATGTACATATATTACTTTCATTACCTACTAAGTCAATTTTAAAAGGACATGTTAGGGAAAAAATTCAACATATATAACAAACATCATCTGTCACTTATGAAAACTAAACAAATATTTGTTTTGTGTGGATTAATGGTTAAGGTAGAAGAGCTTCTGTAACTCATTAAAGAATAAGATAACCTGATGGAAAAATAGGGAAAGAGTATAGACAATTCAAAGAAAAAGAAGCATAAGTGGCAATAAAAATATGAAAAAATTATCCTTATTAATGATTGAAGAAAAACAAATTTAAAAGATCACCTTTTTCCCCCCACCTATCACAAGACAGAAATCTAAAAGATTAAACCTACCTAATAGTTTCCAAGATATGGGGAATCAATAACTGTTTATGTACTATTAAAGTTCAAAATGAAACAACCTTATTGAAAAGCCATTTGGCAGAATCTAACAAAATTGAAAATGTGCTTGACCTTTGTTCTATGAATTCTATTTATAAGACTTAATCCTGCAAAAATAAGCTCCAACTTTGGTACAGCATGTTCACATCAACATTTGAAGCGACCACACTAGAAAAATATAAATAACTACCAATGAATGAGCCTTTAATTATATAGAATTTTAAATTTGTAAAGTGGAATACCTTGCAGGGGTTGAAAAAGGATGAGTATCCTAAACATACTGACATTGATATCCACGATATGGAACGGAATGTGGGGGAGGGGGCAGTAGCAAAACAATGTGGAATTTAATTACATTTTTATAAAGAACTGTGCTGTATGTGTTTATGTGCGTGCACATCTGTGTATGTGTTCATGCATGTGTAAAGAACAGATTATAAAGACTTGTGTTCAGAAACGCCTGCCGGAGTGTAAGAGTAGGAGAATGGAATGAGAGGAGGAAACTTTTACTCTTCACCTTTATCCATTTCAGAATTTTTTTTTTCTTTTTTTTTTTGGTACTGGGGATTGAACTCAAGGGCACTAAAACCACTGCATCACATCCCCAGCCCTATTTTGTGTTTTATTTAGAGACAGGGTCTCACTGAATTGCTTAGCACCTCGCTATTGTTGAGGCTGGCTTTGAACTCAGGATCCTCCTGCCTCAGCCTCCCCACCTGCTGGGATTACAGGCATGAGCCACTGGGCCCAGCCATTTTAGGATTTGTTGTTTTTATAAAACAAGAAAGCATTCATTCCCTTTAAACTACACATGCAGAGGAAAATGTAGTGTTCATGTATTAAAAGACAATTTTGTTCTGATTTTAAAATTAGTTACCTTGGCTTAAAAGTGTGCCTGCAAATTCACTGAAACTTATCCATTCGAAAGGTGGAAACTAATTTTCCTCCCTTGAAAGAAGACTCAGGGACTCACTCTAACACATAGGTCATGGGGGCAGTGCCACTAAGTGGCTTCTGAGGCTAGATCATAAAAAGGAGCTTTCGGCTGTGCTTTCTCTCTGATTGTTTACTCTGGGGGAAGTCAGTCAGCCCTTGTCTTGAGGACACTCAAGCAGCTCTCGAGAAGAACCACAGAGAAAGGCACTGAGGTCTCCCATCAGCCACCAACCACCACCTGCCAGCAAGACCTCCAGCCCCAGCTGCACCTTCAAATGACCGCAGCCTGGCGGACACTCAGCCACCAGCTAAGTCACACCCACATTCCTGGATCACAGGGAAGGCCAGAGATAAATAAATGTTTACTGATGTTTTATGCCACTAAATTTTCAAAAAATTTGTTTGATAGCAATAGATTATACACACACCAACCCCCCTCTGGAGAAAAGTGGGGAAAAAAAAGAACAGCAGAAGGTAACTTCCATCTTTTACCATACTTTCTACATTTTTTTAAATTTAATATTTGTTTTTAGTTGTAGCTGAACAAAATTTATTTATTTACTTACTTACTTACTTATTTTTATGTGGTGCTGAGGATCAAACACAGTGTCCAACACTGCCAGGCGAGTGCTCTACCACTGAGCCACAACCCCAGCCCCTACTTTCTACATTTTTACATTATATATTTCAGGATTTTTTGTTGTTGTTTTTGTTGACATTTTAAGAAAGAAAAAGAAATAAAGTTCAGCTTAATTGTATTTAGATTTTTTTTTCTGATTTAAAAAGCAACACTAGGGGCTGGGATTGTGGCTCAGTGGTAGAGCGCTTGCCTAGCACATGTGAGGCACTGGGTTCGATCATCAGAACCACATAAAAAGGAAAAGTAAACTAATAAAATAAAGTTAAAAAAAAGAGCAACACTTGTGAAAAAAAAAGAAGACGGAGTTGGAGGACAGGCACAAGCCAGCTGTAAGACATAGTATAAGGCTGTGATAATTCAAGTGGTGTAGAATAGAGAAAGAATGCACATACATCAATGGGACATAACAAAGCCAGACACAGACCCACAAAAATACAGCTGACTGACCTTCTACCTAAGAGCAAAGGCAATTCAATGGAGACAGAATAGTTTTTTCAGCCTATGGTACTTGAACAACCAGACATTCACATGCAAATAATCTAGATATACCTTTCACAAAAAAAAAAAAATATCACTCAAAGTTGATCATAGACTTAAATGTAAAACATAAAACTTCTACACATCAACAACAAATTGCTGAGAAAGAAATCATCAAAGCAATTCTATTCACAATGTCTACAAAAATAAAATAAAATACCTAAGAATAAATTAACCAAGGAAGTGAAAGACTACAACGAAAACCACAAAACACTGATGAAAGAAACTAAAGAGGACACAAAAAGATAAAGAATTCCTATATTCATGGAGTGAAACATTATTATAAACACACGACACAAAACAATCTACAGATTTAATGCAATCTCCATCAAAAAAACCAATTATATTCTTCACAGACTAGAAAATACAATCCTAAAATTCACATAGAAGCCATGTGTGATGGTGCACACCTATAATCCCAGAAACTCAGGAGGTTGAGGCAGGAGGATCACAAATTCAAGGCCAGCCTCAGCAACTTAGTGAGACCCTGTCTCAAAAATAAAAAATGTCTGGGGTATAGCTCAGTGTGAGAGTATCCTGGGTTAAATTCCTAGTACCTCATGTACATGGAAAACAATTCATTTCGAAACACAAAGACCCCAAAATAGGCAAAGGAATCTTGAGCAAAAAGAACAAAACTGTAGGTACCATACTATCTAACCTCAAAACATGCTAAAAAGCTATAGTAATCAAACTACATGGAACTGAATGCCATATAAAACAGACACATAAAACAATGGAACAGAATAAACATTCAGAAAAAAATCCACACATCTTCAGCCAACTGATTCTTAACAAGGGCACCAAAAATATCTGTTAGACATGAAGACCAATGGTACAGAATAGAGAACATGGACAAACCCACATAAAAACAGTTTTCTCATACTAGACAAAAGTGCCATAAACATACATTGGAGAAAAGATAGCCTCTTCAACAAATGGTGCTGGGAAAATTGGAAATCCATATGCAGCAAAATGAAATTAAACCCCTATCTCTCACCCTGCAGAAAACCCAACTCAAAGTAGATCAAGGACATAGACATTAGACCAGAAACTATGCGCCTACTAGAAGAAAAAGTGGACCCTAATCTCCACTAGTTGGCTTAGGAACTGACTTCCTTAATAAGACTCCTAAAGTAAAAGAAGTAAAATCAAGAATCAATAAATGGGATGGATTCAAACTAAGAAGCTTCTTCACAGCAAAGGAAACAATCTAGAATGGGAATAGAGAGCCTACAGAATGGGAGAAAATCTTTGCTACCTGAACCTCATATAGAGCATTAATCTCCAGGATATATAAAGAATTCAAAAACCTTAACACCCAAAAAACAAATAACTCAATCATAAATGGGCTAAAGAACTAAACAGGCACTTCACAGAAGAAATTGTATGTTTGATCAATAAATATAAGAAGGGCTGGGGCTGTAGCTCAGTGGCAGAGCGCTTGTCTAGCATGTTTGAGGCACTCGGTTCTATCCTTAGCACCGGATATAAAGTAAATTAATAAACAAAGAGGTTGTGTGTTCATCTACAATTAAAAAATATTTTTAAAAAATAAATAAATATAAGAAAAAATGTTTAACATATCTAGCAATTAGAGAAATGCAAATCAAAATTACACTGAGATGCCATGTCTCTCCAATAAGAATGGCAATTATCAAGAACGCAAGTAACAATAAATGTTAGCAAGGAAGAGGGGAGAAAGGCACATTCATACATTGCTGGTGAGAATGCA